GGGGGACGCTATAGACAAACCGTTGTGCACGTGCCATAGCAGGATGTCAACCCCCCAACGCACCTGCACTGGAAACGATCGCAGAATGCAGATATCCCACGCCACTCCTCCAACGGGGGCGCTGGCAGAGAGGCAGAGGGGCGAAACGGATTGTAGACATCCCGCAACCGGTTGTACAGTTCTCGAGCTCTGGAGTCGTCAACCGCTGCTATTAGGGCCCCCAGGATACCGTGTGTCAGGTGACGCCTTCACATTGTGGGAGGTATGCACACGATGGGGGGCAGAAACACAAGATGAGAATGTCTTGGCACCGCTCAATGACGAACGCCAGAAATGGCTATGGCGGAACCAGCATTCGAGATCGTATGCATATCAGGCGAAAGTCCTCACAGATTTTCACATTGAACAACCAACACGGACTCAAGGGGTACTCGTCTTGGTGTCCACACTAGAGGCGTAGTTGTTCCAAACCTCGGATCGTAGCCAGAGCATCAACGTCAGCGTTAGTGATGTTCATGCGGTCGGCTCACCACGTATCATGTAGCGACACAGGCCAGGGTACCTCTCGAAAACCTCGACGCAATGCCCTAACCTCTCCAAGTCCCACAAGCGTTCCCTCTCTCTGCGTTTTGGTGTGCCAGGATCCTGTTACGTACGGAATGTGTCATTCTAGAGATGGTGCAAGCTACGTATCGCGTTGCGAGTCGTCATTGGGTGCTAGTACATATTCTCCATTACACGTCGTGTGGCAGCGCGAGTAGCAGTGTTCATTGGTCAACGGAGCCTAAAGTGTCGCACGAAAATGGCATAGCAGTTTTCTTGCTGTTTCTAGCGGTCGGGAGCACGAAAGTGAACATGACCAACGTGAGAATATTTGGCCTGCTCACCACGCAGGTAGGTGAAGGCTGGCCACGAGGAGAAAGGAAACATCGCCACTAACGGTTACGCGTATGCTTGCAAAAACTCATGCACGATCGAGTCCAGAAAGAGGGGTCACCCAACAGGGTAGCAGAAGGTGGATATTCAGTTTTCGCATGACACCCGAAACCATTCGTCAAGCAAAGTTGGACCTTGCTCACCGATCGACGGTTTCTTGAACCTGTCCGAAGTCGAACAGGCCATCTTTTAAACCGCCAACCATAGCATCAGACGCCTCTTCCACCTGGGGGGCGTTACCTTGCGGGCTAGCACCGCCGCTGTCCTCCAAGCAAGGCTCATTATCGCTCAATTGTCTAGACGTCGTGCTCGTCTTGCAGGTTTTCTCGAACGCCACTTGGTCGAACGCCACAATCGACCGGGACCATACAGATAAACGTCCTCTTCGCTTGCAGCTGGGTTGATCTGGATCGTATCGAGCAGCAGGAGAAAGGCAGGTCTCGTAACGATGCACCATCGCACAGCACTGCCATTACCCTCGACACTCTGTCAAAGAGGGCTAATTGTCGGCGATGTACAAATTACGCAGGCATTGGACCAAGCGCGAATCGCGTTGAGGTGCCCACAGTGTCGCACGCAGCGTCAATTAATTGTACACAACCGCAACAATCAATGTAACTTTTGGTTTTCTTTGTTGCTGCTGCTAATGACCTTGTCTTCTCATTAGCGTCATTCTGACCTTTACCCAATAAGTCGTGCTGAACCCTCTCCAAGTCCTAATATTAGCGGGATTTTTTGTACACCAGAAAGATGGAAACTGACGATTGTCGCGAATCGGAAAAACATGAAAGTCTCATTTTCGTTGGGAAACCCGGGATCACCAGAGGAAGAAACTTCACCAATATTTCTGTCATTTCGCGGAGGCGACCTGGTTGTAGCCGTAGCAAGTCGTGCAAGAGAACAAATGGAAGCTACAGAACACGTGAAGAAACAGCAGGACAGCAGTGGCCGCCCGACGTGGCGGTAGACTAGCATTTCCCGCCCTCCCATTCCCTTTCCGGTGGGGAAGTAGTTCGGGACTATTCGGTTTCTAGTCGGTGGGTGTACCATTTAGGGACATGGTCACTTTCGGGACTCCTGCGTTTGAAGAAATTCGCATGTAAGGACAGGGAACCAGGCAAAGGTCCGAGACGTTGACGACAGAAATGTGCAAACTATTCGAACCCCGCAAAGCCAACAGGGACGGAGCCACTCACTCACTTGAGACCCTCTTGTTTGGACAGAGGCTCGGTCCTCCTTTCAACTTTAGGGAAACCAACACCAATCACTACAAGCTGGGCCAGCCAAGAAGCTAACATTCAGTCTTCCAGCCATAAATTTTGAAGGAATCAGAATTGGAACGAGCTCGGCACATCTGCTCAATCAGCCAATCACAGCGGATTTGCCCATGCCTCTCGAAATCGTGTTGAACACATTCTCTCCAAAAAAGATAACCCTCCGCAGTTTATCTGGGTTTAAGCATGGGGAAAACAAATTATGAAACGCTTTTTTTGCGGCGGAATTTCATTTTTTTTTGAAATTGTGCACAACGGATGCACACAGCACCCGCTGGCACCGAGGAGTGCACAGCATGGAGAGCCTAGTAGCAGCAGTCACACGCAATGGCTGGCAGAGAACCTCTGAACCCGTATGCTATCCAGAGAGGTCTAAGGGGAAGTGGCGGCTACGGCTCATGTTCACAAGCCGGAAAGGAGACAGGGCAACGAAGAAGTACGGCCCCTTGTGCAACACAGAGCAGGAAGCGCTTTGTGGCAGCCTTGCCTTCAGGTACAGCTGGGAGGGCAGCCAACGTGGTCAGCCCTGCGAGGTCAGCAAGGAGAATTTAGTCCCACCTGTTGCAGCGGTACTACGCTTCCAGCAGGCAAGTCGTGAACTGCCCAGTTGTACACTTGTACAAACACGATGTGGACATGATCATGCAATTTTGATTTTTTTTGTTTGTTCTGGGGTCGGAGCAACGGCAGCACACGTGACACCGTGCCAGCGACTGCTGCTGTACCTACTGCACGCGGCCAGTCATGCCGCAGGCTGGACTTACGTCGAGTATGTTCTTTTAGGGACGTCAAGTAGGTGGCACTCTTATAAAAGAGATGGCGGCGTATGTTGATTTGTACACGACCACATT